TGCGGCACGATTCAAGGCGACCCAGACGCAGGCCGGCGCCTCCTGAACGTCCCGAACATGCACAAGACGGGGGACATCCACTGCGTCTTACCGGCACGCGTCGGCGTGGAGGTCCGGTTCACGGCCGTGCAGGAGGAGCTGAAGAAGAAGTTGGGGCTCGTGCAGGAGCAACGGGCCACCATCGTGTCCTTCGAGTTTCACGCAGACGACGAGCGGGACTACGAGGAGTGCGCGCCGGGCCAGCTCTTCCGCCCCCGCTACCTACCGCGGGGGATCTGGCTGCAGGTGCGCGGCTTCCAGGTGCCCCCGATCTACAAGGAGGTCGCCGAGGTGCTGCAGCAGGGCGCCGATGGCGCTGCCGACGACGGCGAGGCCGAAGCGCGGGCGAGAAGCTTGCTCATGTTCAGGCCCAGCGAGCGGGAGTTCACGTGGCAAAGCTCGGGGGCGCACGCTGTGCGCCGCTCGGGATTCACACTGGCGCACGTGTCCTACCTGACCTCCACGCTGTCGCAGGGCCAGACGCTGCGCAAGGGCGTCACCATCGACTGCGCCAGGGATGAGGACGTTGGCCGCGCGGGCATGTCGGACGATATGTGGTGGCTGCACCTCTACGTCATGCTCTCCCGCGCCACGTGCGTGCGGGACATGCTGACCCTGCGGCCGCCCGCGCGAGAGTTCCTGGAGCGCGGGCCGCCGGCGTCCCTGCGGAAGGCGCTCGAGGAGTTCGACAAGAAAGCGGTGGACTCCAGGGCTGAGGCGGAGCAGCTCGCGGCAGAGCTGGGCTTCATGCTGCCTCCCGCCTGAGCGCCGCGGCGCGCGCCTGGAGGCCCGCGGGGTTGTCCCAACGGCTAGGTCCCACGCCCCAGCGGCCTGCGAGGTTGTCTCAACGGCCCAGCCCGATGGTTTGCCCCGACGGCTTCGCGATCTAGCCGTCGGCAGACGCGCGCGCGCTGGCCGAGGCGGCGACGGCGCTGAGGAAAATGAATTTTCTTGCCCCGACGAGGGGGAAGGGGAGGTGCACATGGAGAAAAGGCAGGGGGATGAGGAGGGAAGGGGCATGGGGGAGGCCGACGACGAGGAGGAGGTGGCGCGAGAGGAGGAGGAGGCGGAGGAGGAGGAGGAGGAGGAGAAGGAGGAGGAGGAGGAGAAAGAGGAGGAGGAAGAGGAATAGATGGGGGAAGAGAGGGCAGTGCAGGGGGCGAGAGGAGAGGGTGTCCGCCAGGGGGAGGAGGAAAGAACAAAGGGTAAGCTAAACAGATTCTCATGTGGGTCCTACCGTCGGAGTAATTTTACGTCGTCGCTTGCTTTTCCTCGCTGCCACGCTCTGATCTGGACCCCTTCTGGTCGTTTCGCCTCTCTCCAGGTCGAGTTTGCGTGAGCTCGACATTTCATGGCCAGCTGGCCCAGACTTTGCACGGAAGCCTGCGTCCCGCCTCCCAGATCGATGGAACCTAGGCCAGGCGTAATTGGAGGGCTATTGTAAAAAAGATTCAGCCAGGGTGGAATCATATCGTAGTACTATGTGCTTGTGGAGGCTACTTGGCCGATGCGCTGGCGCCTACCCCTGGCCCCGCGAGTGGCCGCCCATCACTGCCAGGCCCGAGTCATCCTTGTCCTCGCCCAGGCCAGGCCAGGCAAGCTCCCAGGGCCAGTCCGCGGCACTGGGGCGGGGCTGGGGAGGCAGGGCTGGCGCACCTGGCTGGGGCACCGCTCGCGCAGCCTCGCCGACGTAGCTCTGGCGCAGGGGGGGCCCGCCCCCCGCCTCCTGCCCGGGCTGCAGCCGAGGGCTTGGCATTTCAAACAGGGCGGAGCCCCCCCTCCCAATCTGTCCTCCAGGTCCCCCCCCCCCCAGGGGAGCGAAGATAATCGCGCTTCGCGCGTCGCGGTCTGGGCCAGAGCGGCGGCATTCTCCAGGAGGGTCGGCGCGACGGCGCGAGGGCGCAAGGATAGCCGCGCGTCGCGCATCGCGGGGCGCGATGCGCGAAGTCAGGTGGCCCACGTCCTCGGGGAGGCAGTGCCAGGGTCGCCCAGCGGTCGCCCAGCTGGATGTGCACAGAGCGCGTATTGACGGATTGGCGAGATGGGGGCCCAGGCCCAGGCGCGGGCCAGACGCGGGGCTTGGGCCGCTCGGGGCGCTCGTGGCCCGCGGGTATCCTCTCGGGGTCCTGGGCTTGCGCGCTCGGGTTCGTGGGCTTCCTCTCCGAGCCTCCCCCCGCCTTCCTTCCTCCAGCTCCCCCCCTGGCTCACGGCTCCTCCCCCGTCCCTAGGCCTCCCAGATTGTGTCGGAGTAGATGGGGGTCGGAGAGTCGCGCCGCATCGCCGATGCATCGGCGATGCGGCTCGATGTGGAGCCCGATTTTCTCCACGCCGAGTCGTCGATGCATCGCCAAAGTCGCCGATGCATTGGCAATGCGGCGCGATTCTCCGACCCCTCCTCGCTTCCGTGAGCGATGAGAGGGCACCAGAACGCTCAGGGCCCCAGTGGGGACCTTCGTCGAACACCCTGCTGCATTGCAGCGAGTTGCGACTCTGCACCCTCATCCGAGTAGTAGGCTCGAGTTCTAGTACCCTCATCCGAAGGCTTCGTTCTGGGGGCCCGAGTCGAGCTGAGATTCGGGTGCGGAGCCCATCCAGGTTCTGGCTCGAGTGGATCACGACATGGTTGGTTTTGGAGTTGGTGCCATGCCTCGGCCGCTTGGCTCTCGGGTCAAATATACATGTTCTCGAGCCGTCTTGCGCTGAGCGGGTCGGGGGGACAGGCCGGTGGACTGATGCCGTTAGCATGGTGAGCGTCGGCCTGGTTTCTCCCTCCTCCTCCCTTCTCCCCTCCCCATTGTTCCTCGTGGCGGCGCGCAGAAGGGGATGGCGTGAGCGGGGCGGCCTTCTTTTCGAAGCCCTCCTGCGTTCAGAGAAGCTCTGAGACGCCCCGTCCAAGAAGCCCCGCGCCTTCCTGAGGAGGTTGCCCTCTCGCACCACCCCCTCTGCACGCCGCGTACCCCCTCCTCCCTCCTGTTTCCCTTCTCTTCCTCTCTCTCTCTCTTCTCTGTCTCTCTCACTCTCTCTTTCTCTCTCTTCTCTCTCTCTTCCCTCCTTCCACCGCCAGAGTACATCCATACCCACCGCCTCGGAGTTGTGCCATGGAATCCGGAGGGCCTCTCGAGGAGTGGCGGACGTGGACACATGCCCGCCCCCAAGGGCGGGGAATTTTGTCCACCTCTGCCGTTCCCCATGGATCCATGGCGGGACTCCTGGGAGCGGTTGATGCGGATGTCTCCTGGCGGTGGACCTTTCCCTTTGTTTCGTGGCCCTGGATCTCGCGCCCGCTCCCATGTGACCAGCGTTGCACCCCGAGTCGTTTTGACAGTCCGGGGGCCTGGCAAGGGCCGCCGGAGGCCGAAGACGGCCAAGAGCTTTCTGCCGTGACTCTTCACGGCGCGGGGAGGGGGCCGGGAGAGCATGCTGCCACGCATGGAACGAACGCCAATCAGGAGTGCCACCCTGTCCCTTCTTCAGTGACTTCGCATCCCACTGTGTGATGGTCGGATGGGAAGACGGGCCGCCACCTCTGGCACTGCACGTGCGGTGGCAGGCTCGTGGGGGTTCGGGGCTCTTCACTGAGTGGCCTCGCGCCCTGCCGCCTCGCCTCGCCTCGCCGCTGCGGCCCCTCGCGAGCCGCCGCCGGCCCCTTCGCCGAGAGGGGAGGTGACCCGGATGGGGGGCTGCCATGCACCGAGGCGCGCGCGGCGCGGGCATCCTGCTGGTGGGCCTGCTTGCCGTGTCGCCAGCGCTTCTGCCGACGTGATCTGGGCAATCGTTCGACCGATCCCTGCGCCCGCCGGCATGGCCTTGGCCCCACTGGCCCCCACCTCCACCGAGTGGCGTCACCCCGTGCAGCCTCGCTTCGCTGCTGGGGAGCGCTCGGCGCACGCCCGCCGCTGCTGCGGGTGGTCGCGCGCGGGCCCTCCCCGCCAGCGCGCGCGCGCCCGCGGGAGCCCGGAGGCTCCGAGAGGGTCGGCCGGACTCCGTGCTCGCGCGGGTCGAGCGCGCTGCTCTCCAATTACAGGTCGCCTCGTGTCGCTCAAGACGCCCCAAGAAGCCTCCACGATGGCCCCAAGGACGGCCCAAGAGGCCCCCGAGAGGGTCCCAATGTGACCCGAGAGGGCCTCATGATGGCCCAAGAGGCATCCAGGTCGGCCTCAAGACGGCTCAAGAGGGTCTCCCGCGGGATCCCCTTCGACGGCGCCAAGACGGCACCACGGCGGCCCCCAGACCCGCCAAACTGCCAAGAGGGCCCCAACACGGCTCAAGAGAGCTCCAGGACCTAGGTTCGCCGTCGGGGAGCGCTCGGCGCATGGCTGCCGCGTCTGGCGCGGTTCTGGGCGGCCTGCTCCCCGGGCCTTCCGCGCGTGCTCCCGGTCAAACTCTCTCTCATTCGTGGCCCTGAGGGCGTCAGGCAATGGTGGGCCCTCTCCCTTTATGAATGTGTCACGGCGGGAGTTTTGTTGTTGTTGTTGTTGTTGTTGTTGTTGTTGTTGTTGTTGTTGTTGTTGTTGTGGTTGTTCTTGTTGTTGTTGTTGCTGCCATTTTCGGCCTCCAGTGGCCCTTAGCCAGGCCCTGGGGCCGCGAGCAAAAGCGTTTCAGGACGAACAACCGTGCTGACGCAATGAGCCAACGGGACCGCAGAGCGAATTACCCAGGGAAGCCGAGGGAACGAGAGCCTCGGCGACGAGAGTTGAGCTTGCTTGTGATGGCGGCAGGGAGTGCTGCAGATCCGCAGGGGGGACAAGTCGGCGTGCGGTACGAAGGCCCGAGGAGGTGTTTATGACGATGTCGTCATCCTTGCCAGCCTTTGAACGCATAGTGGCTCTCGGTCGTCTGTTCATGATTCGAGCCAGAGCCTGCCTGCTATCCCTTTCGTTCTTGTTTCAAGCTGTGTGCCTGTACCCCACCGTTGCGTTGCGCTATTGTGTCAGTGGACGGGCTGCCTTCTCTCATTGCAGGAGAAGCTCCTGCACCTCGCGAAGCTCTTTCCCACGCAGTGGCGAACCATAGCTCCGATAGTGGGCCGCACGGCCTACCAGTGCCTCGAGCATTACGAGAAGCTCTTAGACCAGGCGGTGCGTGGACGCCTCTCTGGCCTTGTGCGACCCCGTTTTCAGCGCTGCTCGACGATACTGTTTTTTTATGCCTAGTGTGTGTTTGCACAGGGATTGGCAGTGCTTCTCTTTCTGGGAGATCCGCACTGTGTGCAATAGTTTACCCCGCCACCTCCCCAACCCCCCTCCCCCGTCCCCAGGGCGGGGGTGAGGGCTGCTGTGCGACTGCCTCAGCCAGGAGACTCAAGTGTCGGCTTGCAGAGGCTGCGTGCGGTCAGCGCGCGCGCGCGCGTGTGTGTGTGTGTGTGTGTGTGTGTGTGTGTGTGTGTGTGTGTGTGTGTGTGTGCACGCGTGCGCGGGGGCGTGCGCGGGTGTGTAAAAGCGCCGTACGCGAATAGAGCTGCTGGACTCGATTTGTGGTTGTGATGCATTTTTTTGCTGGCTTCCTTGTTCAGACGGCCTCTGTTCTATCGGCATCTATTTCTCGTTCTCTCTCGCCTGGACTGTTTCCCAGCATTTCCCACCGTTTGTCTCTCCTACACTGCTTCACGACGAGGCGCAGGGGCGCGACGAGATGGACGAGAATGATCCTCGTCGCCTGAAGCCAGGCCTCATTGCCCGAGAATGCATGCTGTATTTGCGTGGGCTCCGTCCACGCAGTCTCCCCCTCTTCTCTCTCCCCTCCCTTCCTCCCTCCTTCCCTCCCTCGTCTCCCTCCCTCTCATCATTCCCTTCTCTTTCCCTTCCTTCATCCCTTCTCCTCCCGTGCCTCTCTCCCCCTCTCCCCCCACTTCCCCGCCCCTTCCCCGCCCCCTTTCCCTTCCGCTCGCCTCCCTCCCCCCCTTCCTTTTCCAATCGTTTGCCCGTCTCTTCCTCAACCTCCCTCTTTCTTGCTGCCTGTGTAGCCACGTGTGAAGGAGCATCGCATCCTTTCCGCATTGGGCTGCCCAGGCGACCCAGTCTGGCCTGTTCCTTTTTCGGAGTTCTCGGCCATCTTGGGCTAGGCAGACTCGATGTTTCCAACGTTGGGAAGTTGTTGATGCGACATGTGCTTTATATCTATTGGCTTTCGGCCCATCGCACCACTGTGCCTGGAATATGGGTCAGAGTCCTCAGGGACGCTTCTTGCGGTCCTCTCAGGGACCGTCCTGGGGCCTCTTGGGGACAGGGGTCCTTTTGGGGTCCTCTTGGGAGCTTCTTGGGGGCCTCTTGGGGCCTCTTGGGGGCCTCTTGGGGGCCTGTTGGGTGCCTCTTTGGTACCTCTTGGGGGCCTCTTGGGCCTCCTGAGGGCATCTTGAGGCCGAGGGCTCGAATTGTCCGCTTGGATCACTCGAATGGGGCCCCTCTCGGAGCCGTCTTGGGGGCCTCTAGGGCCGTCTTGGATGCCTCTTGGGCCGTTTTGGGACCTTCTTGGAGGCCTCTTGGGCCGTCTTGGGGCGGTCCTGCGAGCCTCTTGGACCGTCTTGGAGCGTCGGGAGCTCGAATATTCGAGGACACCAACATCGTTGAAAAACCGATGGGGGATCAACGATTTTGGCCTCTCGGAGCCCTCTGTGAGGCCTCTTGGTGTTCTCTTCGGGGGTCTCGGAGGCCGCTTGGGCCGTCTCGGAGCCATCTTGGGCGTCTTGGTGCGATTTTGGGGCTTCTCGGGGCTCCCTTGGGCCGACTAAGGGGGCCTTTTGGGGTCCTCTTGGCCCGCCTTGGGCCCCCCATGGGCCCGAAACAGTCATGCGGGAAATCGCGGGGGAGCCCACGGACACCGCTAGGAAACTAAGAACATTAGTGAATTTGGAGTCCAGGCGCTTTGAAAGCTTTTCAGGGGTGAGGAGTGAGGAGGCTTCGAGGATGGGGCAAAAGACCCGAGGGCTCGCATACTCCGTGCTCAGCTGCACGGTGGCGGAGTTCACACACACACAGACACGCGCACACACACACGCGCGCACACACCCCCACCCACCCACCCACCCCCACCGCCATCCTTACTTCCTATGATTAAGCACCCCCACATCCCCACCTAGCCTGCCGATAGCAACCCCGCCGTCCTAATTGTCAAACAAACAGCACACGCTCACTTTTGTCTCGCCAGCATGTCGTTGAGTTGTAGAACCATGTAGGAGGAATGGGACGGAATGAACATCGCTTGGGTAACCGGAAGCGGGTGGTCGCGTCGTACCCATCAAAAACTACAAATTCAACGTTTTTCTCGTCAGCATGGACTTTCTCGTCGTCGACGCTGCGAAAAGTGTAGCAGGCATGGGATGCGGTGCACATCGCGCGCGGACGCCTGGCCAACCCTACGCGGGACCCCCCGTCCTACTTGTCAAAAAACACAGCAACGTCGACGTTTTCCTTGCCAATATGTGCTTTCTCCTCGTCGGCGCTGCGAATCGCTCAGCGGGAATGGGATGCGGCGCACTTCGCGCGGGGACGCGTGGTTGCTCCTGCACATCGCCAATATGACGGGCAACTCGGGCGCCGAGAAGGCCCGCCTCCAGCTCAAGTGAGCGTGCGACGACGAGGATGTCCCAGCTCTGTGGATCAGATCCACTAAGTGGGCATTCGTCTCCTGGCATGCTATGCCCAGAATCATTGTGCAATCCAGTGACAGCTGTAGGCGGCCAAACTCCCGATGTCACTCACGATGCCGCTAGGTTCTTCATTCGCGGAACCAAGTGGGCATGCCTGCCGAGAACCATCGAGCGCGGGCTGTCCTGCTGTGCAGAGCACAACCCTAGAGGAAGACGCGGCAGGCAGTTCGTGCGCGGATGCTCATGCTTGCCAGGAGATTCCAGGTTCCGTTCAGGCCTCAGGCCCGACGCAGAGTTATACATACTCAAATATACCCCGCGTCTATTGCAAGGTGGAGCAAAAGTGTTGCGTTCCGCCAACGATATTGTTCTGACCGAAGGGTTGAATTGTATCATTCCGACCAAGTACTTTATGCAGCTTGCGTTGAGACCCGAAGACGAGTTCAGATGTGTCTGGCACACCCCCCAGCATTTTTCATGATGAGCGCTATGAGCTACGGGATTGGCCGACCACCATGGGCGATGTCGCCCTTCAGGGCAGCTTGTTCGAGCCCGAAGCGCGAGTCGGTGTTGGGGTGGATGTGTGCCCCATCAACCACCATAAGCCTGTTAATGGATGCGGTGGCACCCGCCGATATAGCCGCGCCAACGAGCGCTGGGCCACCGGCAGCTCTGCCAACCGACGCCGGTTCATCCTCCTGGATGGTGCCGCCATCCAATGATGTTTTTACTATGTCGGATGTTTTCGGTCGGTTCGACCCGTGGGCAGCCGCCCCGAACAGCGTGCCAGCAGGGCCGCCCGCAAGTTTCCGACTGGTAAGGCCACCGTCAAACGCTGGCTTTACTAGGTTCGAGCCCGCGGCATTCGGTCAGCCAAGGTCCGAGCCGAGCCTAGCGTCCATGGTGGACGCGCTCAATGGCCGACAAGCATCGGCGAGCAATGAGGACCTCGTGCAGCGCATGGCCATGCTGCGCCAGCATTCACACCTGGCAGCAGCCATGTGGGCAACAACTCCCTTTGGCGCTCCACGCCGCGGCCAGGGCGCCGGCAGTCCGGCAAGCTCGCCGATGGCAGTCTCAACAACAGACCGGCCTGGACACAGGCAGTCTGCACTTGAGCAACAGAGATTCATGCAGCAACAACATCGCACAGCCATGTCTGAGATGAGGTTGCTCGATGTGGACGCGACGGGTCGGAACAACTCGACGCCGCCTTGGGGGTGACACCCAGGCGCGAGTCCATTGGCAGACCGCCCAGATAGGCTGCCATATATTCCGGCATTCGTCGCGCATCCAACGCGCCTTCCACTCCAAGGGCCCGCTCCACCACAGATGGATCAGCCGCTTTCCCCCGAGCACTCTGCAGAGATCAGCGGAGCGCCAATGGTGGGCCAAGTGGCCCAGAACCAAGTGACGTGGGATATGGCGGACGATTTCTACCGCTTGCAGGTGGTGCGTGCCCCGGGCACGGGAGCTTATCCGCGCGTGAATTATCGGCCTTCACTTGCTGACCCAGATGCGATAGTGCAACCGCATGCACAGGAGATCAACCCACCTGCAAGCACCTTACCCGAGTAGTTGCACGATATTCATGTGATGATGCAAGCGAATATGCAGGCAGCGGAGGAAGCCCGCAGGGCCGCGCGTGACCGAAACGCAAGGCGGTTGCAACACATTGCCAACAGCAGCGCCCAGCGCGGACGCGTGCAGACTGCGATGTCGACTCCAAGGCCCAGGGGCGGACCGCCGCCGTCTCCGTGCGAGGCGTCGGATGCCGCGCTGCAGTGGCACGGGCAGACGCGCCCAAACTCAGCTGCGCCTGTAGTTTCGGATATCTCCTCCACTCAGTGCGCTGTGTGCCTCGTTCTTCGCGCTGCGCGAGAAAATTGGGAGGTTGCAGTGCAGTCGCCAATGCCGCGCAGAATGCTGGGGCCGCAGCTCGAGTGCACGTGTCGAGAGGAAGGGCAGGGGCCGATGTAGAGGCCCCATGTTCCATCTGCGGGGGGCCTGGCACCGCCGTGGCGGAGTATCCCTATGTGGGGCATGCCGACGCATCGAATTCAGTGGCAGATGCCATGCAGCAGGCTCAGGAGATCTCTGGTCTGTGCAGGAGGCTGGATGAAGTCTTGATGTCGATTCCCCCGACAAGTTACGCCGCGAACAATCCGATGCCAGCAGCGCCCCCAGCAATGGCCGCGCCAATCCCGCTCCCAGATGTCGCGGGGACACCTGCAGTGAACCCCTCGTCGATGCAAGATGCGGGGGCACCTGCTGCCCATGCGATGCCAGATCCCTTCAACCACCCACTGCTGGACCGCCTAGAACAGCAGCGACAGGCGGGTCCAAGGCGCCGCCGCAGCCCGCGCTCGGCCGCGAGCAGGAGGGTGGACCCCCCATTGAACGATGCGGTCTTGGAACAGGCAGTGGCTGCAGAAAGAGCCATGAGCAGCCCGCAGCGTTCATGCTGCAGGACAACGAAGTTCGCGCCACTGGCGCAGCGACGAACGTACTGCCCGAACCGCTGAATACCCGGGGGTGCGCCGATTGGACACTTGAGCGTGAGCCTGCCGCAGTGGAGGAAGTGAACGCCTTTATGGGCAAGTGGGGTCCTTCGACTCTGAACATGGCGAGGAACCAGTTCATTGTCCACCAGAGGAGGCTCAAAAGACATGGGCGCGGAAACATTCGCAATCTCGACTCCAGCAGGCATGCAGCGCGTGTGCTCAGCAGGCAGACTCAAAACTTGTATTCTTGGTAAACTCAGTATGTTGGTGGACATTGGACCGACTAACAATCTCATTGGGATCGACGCAGCACGGGAGCTCGATAACCAATCCCGCCAGCATGGACACATGCAGAAGGTCAGCGGAGTTGGCAGCGGCGCAGCCATGCGCCGGACCATGGGAACAATCATGACTGCGTGTAAATACCGACATCGCAACCAGCCGACGAGCGCAAAGGTGGGCGCTTTTGTTGGTGACATCGCCGGAGGATCTGGCTCAGACCTGCCCGCCATCCTGGGCCTTGCCCCCATGCAGTCAAAGAGGGCAATCTTGGTCCTGCCGGAGGGCAAGGGGCGC